TTTAATGAATTATCTGGCATCCCAAGGCATTGGGTTTGAGATCACTACTCAGACAATGCCTCAATTTCAGGTCCTATGAATATTCATTTCTTTCCCCTTCACTTTTCTTCTCCATCCCTCCCCACCAATCTAATTTAAAGAGCACTTTTCCTGGTATGTTTCTTATGCAAAGGCTCTGAGCCCTGGCTTCCCACCTCTATTACGGAAGTCCTCTACTTGGCATGACTGTCAGATGTGAGCTGGTGTTCTTATTGCAAGTGCCCTCAAAATGCTGCTTTATCTTTGCATATGGAAGGAAAAGAGATGTGGCCTGTTTTAGACTATAAGGTTGATACAAATTCAGAATCCACTGCATATGGAAAGGTGATTTCTGTTATTTTTACTAAATCTAGGAAGTTTCCTCTTTTCAAACAGAAATTAATCCATTGTTGAAGAATGAGGTCTTTTATTATGTTTCATGAACTTACGCACCCTAATGTGGAATGTCTCTCATTTCCTGAGGCAGGAATACATTCACTATTAATATAGTGGCTCTGGAGATTCTTACTGGGTTTTGCAAACATCCTCATATGGTCGCTGGAAAGTAGGTGCCAGGTGTTGGTGACTATTAGCATATTGCCAGACATGCATAATAGGCACTCAAATATTGCTGAATAAATGATAGAGCATATACTTTCTAGCAACTGATACTGATGCTAGTTAAAAACTCATTGAATTTATAGGAATACTAGAGGCCTGATGTACAAAATTCATGCAAGGGTAGGCCTTCCTTCCCCCGGCTGCTGGCACCAGCTTCTCTCCAGCACCCAGGACCCGGGCTTCCCTCACAGCCCCAGCTTCATCTAGAAGGTCATCAGGAAGGACTTCTGGTCTAATTAGCATATTATGCTTTTATTATTATAGATATTTTTAGAACACTGGATGATTTATAAGTGTTCACACACATTCTCTAAAAATTGTTTCCTGTATTTTAAAGTTGAGAAAATGAGACTTCAAGAGGTTAACCAACTTCAAAGTCATACTAAGATGTTGAATTTTCTAGAACCTCAGGTTTCCATTAGCAAAATAAAAGCCGATATTAAAAAACTGTTGAAAAAATTTGAAGTTATGTAAGCTATAGCTTTAGATACTAAAACAAACACGGCAGGAAAAAATGACACCACAAAACCTGGAAACTGTACTAGTATTTGTATATAGTACCTTTTTGTAGTTTCCTAAGCATTTTCTCACATGTGATTTCATTTGACCCCAGAACTCTACTGGATTGGAGTAAAATTGCCTCACTTTAGCGACTTAATAGGAACAATAACAAACTTCCCCAAATGTTATTCTTTTCCAAAACAGGTCAGACTGGCTGTTAAGAACTAAATTTCTTGCATACTCATGCCATCTGCTGGTACTTTTTTGGTAACATGGATTCCAGCTGATTTTATATTACAAAAACAAATTTTCTTGCCCTGGTGGGTGTGGCTCATTTGGTTAGGCACATAGAGGGAGGATGTTGGTTCCATTCCTGGTCAGGGTTTCAGGCTTGATCCCCTTTAGGGGGCCTGCAGGAGGCAGACAATCAGTTTCTCTGCCACATTCATGTTCCTTTTTCTCTCTTTCCATCTCTTTCTCTCAAAATCAATAAAAATATATTTTAAAAAGACATTTTTTTTTCTTTAGTGTAAACTTCAGATCCACGAAAATGTTTTACTCCTTATGACTCAATTCCTTAAAAATAACCCCATTTCAATCTTTGAAACTCATTTTTTAAGGAGCCTACTCTAAAATAGGATCCAAGACTTACTTAAGAAGGGACTGAAAAACATAATCCTTCTGGCATATTGATAGGTTTAGAAAGGCCTCCAGCACCTTAACATTGGCCTAGACAGGGAAGAGAGAGAGGGCTTAGCTAGGGACAGAACACACGCATGGAATTATCCTTTGTCCAGAGTAATGCCTCCCCTTGGCCCAGTATTGTGAGTGGGTTAGTTGAGAAAGTAGTCCGGTAGGCACTATGTGGTGCCTAACAGCTGGGGGAAGACGAAATTCTGGAGAACAGATGAAGCCAACCCCAACTCCCATCTCCCGAGAACTTCGCCCCAAGCAGCTTAGTTTCCATCTGTTTTATATAATGGCCTCAGGTAAGGCTTTGTTTGCAGAAAGTATTCAATGTGAAAACCCCTGCTCAAGGTCAGCCCTTAGGCCCTTGCAACTTTGACCAGTCCAGGATTTCTGAGAATGGAGGCCTTTCTCCCAAACACACTAGCTCCTTATGAAGTCAAATGCACGTCTGCATCCAGGAGTAATTACCTTGAAACCAAAAGGGGCAACAGACACAGGCCTGCGGGTATGGAGACGGCCTCTGAGCAGGTCCAACTCAGATGAGGCAGAAGGTGCTGGAGCCCAGGCTCAAGTGGAGGCGGCAGGAAGGGAGTGGGCTTTGCTCCGTGCCCAGCCCTGTGCCAGGTGCTCAGGGTCCGGATCCTCTCCAGTCCTATGAGAGGTGTTTCTTTGCTCCCTTCCCTCCCTACCTCCCTCCTTTCCTTCCTCCTGGATATACTGAGCACCTGTCTGTTCCAAAGGCTGGGGTACAAAGGCAAAGCTAGCATCCCCAAGACCTCACAGCCCCCTGAGAGCTTCATCAAGAAAACGGCTGTGACTGGGGTGGGTGCGGGATGCAGGGGGAGCCCCAAGTGACCGAGGGAAGGTTCTCCAGTGGAGTTAAAGCTGAGGTGGGATTTGAAATGATGAGGAAGGGCATTCCAGTTGGAGGGAACTGCAGATGCAAAGGCAGGGAGGCAAGAGACAGCCCGCCTGGTCTAGGAACTCTGGAAGGGCATGGAGCCCAGGACCAGAAAATCTGCTGGTAAAGGGGTTCCAGACTCATTACCTGGTTCCTCTGCCTCCTTGACCTTTACTCCTGCTGCCTGGCCAGGAAGAGGCACCCACCTACCTGCACAAAAGAAGGCTTGGAAGATATGGAGAGGGAGTGAGGAAGGAGGGCCAGCTGGTGTGTAGTTTTGGACTGATTCTCTGAAATCTCCTCCTCCTCCTCCAACACCATGGCAACCAGGGAGCAGCTGGGAAAGACCCCTGTGAGCTGGGCTGGGCTGAGCTGAGGGGGAGGTGGGCTGAGGCTAGGGACCTCTGCTCACCCTCTCTGAGCCTCAGTTTTGGCATCTAGAATATAGGTACGACAACCCAGTTGCTGGCTTCTATTAACTCAGGTGCTTCAGGAAGGGGAGCCCAGGTTGGACTCATTCGGGGGAATGCCTGGGAGGTAAGGGTGGGGCTTTGTGAGTACCCTCATCACCCTAGAGCTGAGGGCTCACAGAGGAGAGGAGTCCCTGAGCCAAGTAGCCTGCGCTTCCCACCCAACGGCTTCCCCTGCTGTGCCCACTGCACTGTCAGGGCTGAGGACCAGGAGGGTAGGGGGCCGGAGACAGGGCTGAGGCACAGATACAGGGATGAATCTCCGTGAGCCGCTGCTACCCACAGAACCCGGTCAAAGCCCCAAAAGGAGAGGAAAGGAGAGGAATATTTCCTGAGGCTGCTGCTCCAATTAATGCAGATTGGCCTAAACCCGTGGTCGGCAAACTGCGGCTCATGAGCCACATGCAGCTCTTGGGCCCCTTGAGTGCGGCTCTTCCTAAGCCTTAGGAGTACCCTAATTAAGTTAATAGCAATGTACCTACCTATATAGTTTAAGTTTTAAAAATTTGGCTCTCAAAAGAAATTTCAATCGTTGTTCTGTTGATACTTGGCTCTGTTGACTAATGAGTTTGCTGACAACTGGCCTAAACAAACAGGAACATATGATCTACCCTTTCTGGGGCCAGAATCTGAAATCAGGGTGTCTGGGGCTGTACCCCTCCAAGGGCTTCAGGGGAGGGTGCTTCCTGCCTCTTCAGCTTCTGGGGGCTCCTGGCCACATCCTTTCAATCTTCATGTGGGCCCTCCTCCATCCTCCTGGGACAACTCTGGCATAAACAACTTCCCCATCCCCTGTTCACCTGCCCACTTCCAGCTGTGCCCACTTCTGGTTCATCACAAGACCTGCCCCTGTTCACCTGGCCACTTCCAGCTGTGCCCACTTCTGGCTTATCCCAAACCCTGCCCCCGTGTTCACATGCCCACTTTCAGCTGTGCCCACTTCTGGCTCAGCACAAGCCCTGCCCCATTCACCTGCCCACTTCGGGCTACTCACTTCCCCTGCCCCCATTTCTGGCTGATGATGTGACCTCCTCCTCTTTGCAGGCAGCTGAGACTCCTGTGAGCTAGACTAGTTGAGGGGGAGGTGGCCCAAGGCCAGAGATCTCTGCTTCCCGTCTCTGAGCCTGGAAAGTAAGGGTGGAGCTTTGTGAGTACCTGCATCATCCTTCAGCTAGGGGATAAGCAAGCAGGGGAGTCCCTGAGCCACCTAGTCTACACTTCCTACCAATCACTAAGCCCTTGTGTGCCCACTGCACTGTCTCTGCCAAGGACTGGGCCGATAGGGGGCGTTGGCGTTGGGAGACAGGGTGAGGCACAGACATCGGGATGAATCTCCCTGAGGCCCTGCTGTCCCCAGAACCTGGTCAAAGCCCCAAAAGGAGGGGCAAAGAGAGATATATCCTGAGGCTGCTGCTGAGACAGGGCCTAGGCACAGACACAGGATGACTCTCCTGATGGGCCCCTGCATTGCGAAGTCTCGGACAGCTCCTCTGCTGGAGTACAGGGTTCTTCTGTCCCCAGAACTTTTTGAGTCAAAGCCCCAAAAGGAGGGGCAAGGAGGAATGGATTTCCTGAGGCTGCTGTTCCATGACTACAGACGGGCCTGAACAAACAGGAACATGTGGTCTCCCAGTTCTGGGGCATAATCTAAACCAGGGTGTCTTGGGCTGTGCTCCCTCCAAGGGCTCCAGGGGAGGGTCCTTCCTGACTCTTCAGCATATGGGGCTTCTGGCCACATCCCTTCAATCTTCATGTATGAGTCGAATTTAAATAACGTTGAAAGCATTTTGGTCATTCTATATGTTAGAGCAAAATTTATTGTGAAGGGTTGTCCAGAATTTAAAAAAAAAAATCGTGAATAAACGGGTGTTTAGGCCAAATATTTCACTATATCCTAAGAAGAATCATTTAAGGGTTTGTTTTTATAAGTTATGCTTGAGAAAACTACGTTTCAAAGGTTAAGTCACACAGTTTCCAAATTCTCATAGCCAATATATCTCTATCAGTATTTGAGGACAGAGCCTTAAAGTCTATTGATCTTTCCAGAGACTTTTTCTCTCTTTAGTCACCTTATCTAACTGTTGTACTTACCCATTTTGAAGTCAGTTTTTAACAGGTGGAAATCATAGTAATCTATTTTCTCTTATTTACAGTTCTCAGCCTGTGGACCTCTTATGACAAATACTGGTTTACCAGATGGTAACACACCACAACCACACATTGAGTTTGAATAACTGTATGAGTGATTTTCATGTTTTAGTAGATAGGTTTATCTTTGCAGTTTGCTGAAAAAAAAAATCTGGATTTCTTGGCTCTCCCTCAGAGACCAATTCAGTGCTAGGGGAGGGAATAGGGGCATAATTAATTTACTGTTTAACCAGGCACCCAAGTGATCAAATTGCAGATGATTAAAAAAACACCTAAATATGTAGTGATGTCTGGGGTCACAAAATCCTTCATGGTGTTTTTGGAATGCATTCTATGCCTAAATATAGAAGTTTTAGTTTGGGAAATCGCAATACCTTAAAATAAAGAAGCCATACATTTCACACCCCTTTTAGGATAGGTAGAATCTACCTTAATTTTTCCTCAGTTCTGCTTTATCTCTAAAACATACTTCATATCAGTGCAAAGTGCTGGCCAAACAGGATTTTTTCAGTTCAATCTTGCTCTGTTCCCAATTCACACCGTCCCTAGATTAGAATTAAGAGTTTGAGTTTTACATGGCTCCTGGTGTGTAGCTGCTCAGACATCCAATTAGCGGTTATCTGTTTAAACTGTGAGGGTGTTTTTTATAATTGTGGAAATGAACCATCATAAATGTATCTCTTGAATAATTTTTATCATCAGTAGTTTTCCAATCCTGCCCAAACAAAAGTTACCTGTGGATGGATTTAGGCTTGCGCTGTGGCTCAGACTCTACATTTAAACATCCCATATAACTTTTATGAATAGGTAAATTTAAAAAACAGATGTGGCTACACTATTTTTCTCCTCCAACCTCAAAATAGCTTGTCACAATTGTAACTTAAATCATTGCATAATCACTAGCATATTTTTTACTCACAATATTCACCTTAGGGTCTCTTTAAAGCATTCACATTAAGATCACATTAAGGTGACAACTTAATCATTGTCACCTAAAACTAAGAGGAAAGATTCTAAAGTTTTCAAAGGAAAAAGCTTAATGTGTACACCCTTGAGTAACCTACTTATTTTGCAGTATACTCACCTTATTTGGTTAATCTTCCCATCCCAAAGCAGTATCATTTTCATTAGTGGTTTTCTATCTCAAGTGAATGTGTTGACTTTTCTGTAAAGAATCCATTCTGGCCGAAACTGGTTTGGCTCAGTGGATAGAGCGTCGGCCTGAGGACTGAAAGGTCCCAGGTTCGATTCCGGTCAAGGGCATGTACCTGGGTTGCGGGCACATCCCCAGTAGGAGATGTGCAGGAGGCGGCTAATCGATGTTTCTCTCTCATCGATGTTTCTAGCTCTCTATCTCTCTCCCTTCCTCTCTGTAAAAAATCAATAAAATATATTAAAAAAAAAAAAAAGAATCCATTCTGACTGTATCTTCCTTATTGCTTGTTGTGGTTATCTGCCTCTGTCACCTTAAAATTAACCTAGCGATATGACTTTTTTTGTTGTTTTTGTAGTTGTCAGCATCTGAAGCAAAATAATCTCAGAAAAGTTAATACTGGTGAATTAAATATACCAGGTGTAAATTAGATAGAGTTAACTAAGCCACAATGCCACCTGGCGTCAACTGAAGCCAGCTATAGCCATTCAAAGATATGATGTATGTGTTCATAGATAAAACTAAGACAAGGTGATTACTAGATAAGGATCAGTGAAAAATAAGTAGCAGTATTGCACCAATGCAAGTCAAAATATACTTTATTATAACAGCAAATGCACACAGTGCTATAAGTAAGGCATGCTACTAGGAATCTGCATATAATCAAAGACCGGTATGAAATGAATGGGAATGAATCTTGTTTCTTAATGCTTGAAGATTTAGTCCACAGTGAAGGAAACACAGAATTTGTGTCCACTTATCTCAAATGCATTATATACCTACTTAACCAGACTTCTAAGCCTCTAACCAAGAGCCCAAAGGTAAGAGAAATTTAATCTTAACTGAACTGACAAGTTACATCTAATATCAATGACAGATTTACTAATTGAGATAAATTTCCTCTTTAGACAAAGACCTATAAATTGGGCACTCAAACATCCATTCAAATTAGTCAATTTTAATGTCATTTACTCTACCAGAAACAAATACTAGATTACTGAAATACTTTGAATAAAGAAACGTTTACATGTTAATAGCTCATAATGAAAATTTTGGGCTAAGATTAACACCCTGAGTCAAATTTGATTCCCTTCCACTTGAAGGGACCAAGTACAGCTTCAATTTCAATCGCTGAGTTAGGAAAGAGTTGAGAAAATAATGCCTATGAGAGCTAGTCCTTTGATGAAACTATTAGGCTCTACAGACTTGTCAAAATCAAAGCAAAACTGAGGACAGGCTGAAATGCTTTGCAGAATAGTATTTTTAGACAGGCTGCTTCATCTCCCCCTCTCTTTTAGAACAGATGCAGATGATATGCTTTCTGCATGAATGCACATTGACATTCTGTCCAACTGTTTTCTAAATACAATACTGTAGGGATTTAAACAGTATGCTTTAATTTAAACAAAGTAGTATCTGATAAGCAGTCAATTTAGCTTAAGAGTTGAAAAGAAACAGTAATATGAAAATGATCAAATATTCTACTCTTTTAAAGAATGTTTTTTAAAAGCAACACAGGACCAAAAACATTCAACTATTACTTTATTTATATTACTATGCTTACGTTACATGGAAAGGACACCAAGCAGTTCTGCCCCATTTCAGGAAAAGTTTCCAATCAACACCAATTACGTGGTGACAAGTAACTAGGAATGGTGGCATCTTTGGGTCAAGACCAACAAGGAAGAATGGGCTCTGGTGCTATGGTTCATCTCCAACAAGATTATGGCACAATGGCCAGCACAAGCCATACTAACACTGAACCTTTAGCGCTGGTCACAAATTCGGATCTCTTCTCTGAAGCTAGCAAATCAAGTGAAATAAAAAAAGTTTTAAAATAAAGCCCAAATACATTTAAAAACCATGCTCTTAACACATTTTCCTTTCAAAATTTACATAAAACACATTTTTCCACTCTAATAGCCCAGATTTTTTTCTCACATAGCCCACCATGTAGCTGCAGATAGATTATTCTGCCTCAAGATGTAAAAGTAGGGAAAAAAATTTAACAGCATCTGCATAATATTCTCTCTACATACTGTTGTTGGATGTAAAATAGAAAATTAAAAAAAGAAAGAAAGAAAGGTTCCATCTTAGATTCTCATAACCTCTTGTTCCGCAGTTCATGAATCCGACTCTGTGCTAAGGTGACAGTGTATGTAAGTAGATTTTTGTTTTCAGTGAAGGAGACCTGGGAAAAGATGAAGTTCTCTCTTTTTCTTCAAGAGTTATCAGATGGTACATGCTCCTCAAAACCCTCACTCTCTCGAACTAGAGCACGTTCCAGGATCACACGGCCTTCCTTATAACGCTGGCTGTCTTCAGTGGCAAACTCATAGATCCATCCTAGTTTGCTATTGCAGTTTTTACAGCTCACATCTCGAACCATGTGGCGGCCAGTAAGCATGACCCGGTCTTGCACTTCACTGTACTGCAGGTTAACTACCTAAGAAACGTGAAAAAATTGCAAAAGCAAGTAAATTATTTGCCAAAAAGTACACAATACTTGGTTGGTGCAGTTAACAGCAAATTCAGAAAAGCAAACAGCAGTTACTTTATCAGACCTACAACACCCCCCTTCCCAAGGGCTATTTTTAGAAGCTGCTGGGACAGGTAAACATCTGGAATTGCACTGTACTGGACATCTAATGAGATCACACATTAATGTACTAGTCCAATCCACACTATAAATACTAGTTACATTTCTGAGTTGTACAGAAGAGTCCTTGACTTTGATACATAAATTGTAGGGTTGTGTCTAATTGTTATTATTCACTATTCAATCATGAGTGCAAAACAAGGCTACCAATGTAAAAGACCTAGTACACAACAGATTTTATTTAAAAGTTTACTGAATTTGTTTCTGAAAATACATTTTATATACAGACTAGGATAAGCCTACTTTATATCATACATGACAACACATTGTTTTCAAGAGAGTTCAAAGAATCTGTGAAGAATTTCCAATGATTCTGAATACGCTATACTTTACTTTTCTGTAAAGGGCCAGATAATAAATATTTTTGGCTTTGAGGTCAATGCGTTCTTCATTGTAACTATTTAGCCTGCTGTTGTAGCACAAAAGCAGCCAAAGATAATACATAAATGAATGGGCATGGCTGAGCTTCATTAAACTTTTAAAAAAAAAAAAAAAAACACAGGAAGCTGGCCTGCCGTGGTGTGCCAGCTCCTGCCCTATATCCAAATAAAGATCAAAGAGTATACACTACCAATTCTTTGAGAGAAAAACTTGTTTCTGAATTGAACAGAAGGGTGTCCACTGGGGAAGTTTAGATGACCTTCTAAGAGCAATGCATTTGTACTAGTTCTGTTCCTTAGCCTAAAAGACTTGGAAATTCAACCTCACTAGTACACATTAGACTCCAGGAGGCAGATATCACATCAACTAATTTCAAAGCAAGTCAGAAATTAGAGAAGCAGATAGATTAGACAATTGTTTGTAAATGAGTAAACTTCCTGTTGGCAAACCTATGTAATAAACTAAATCATAATCAGAGGGATGACTGGTGAGCATAAATTAGAGCAAGGGAAGTTGGTTAGATGATTCTTATTCATTTGCATTGTCAAGCTATTTCCCTATAAAAATAAATCAGTGATAGGAATATGGGGATGTCTCAGCCCCTTCCTTCAATAGTCTATGAAGTCCCTACTAAATTCTTACACTAATGTTTTCTAAATGGAGACTACCCTTCTTATTGTAACAGTCTTTCAACTTCCAATTTAAAAAATCATATTCTAGTAATACCTTCCTAAGGTCCACTCAAAGACAAGTTAGTGGGTAATAATTTCTACAGATTGCAGCTCTCATTCTTAAGCCTTCCTAGTATCTCCAAGTTCTGAGGAGTATTCTGGAACTACCGTCAAATATATCCACCACTTGACCCACTTAGGAAATGAAATGGATTTTCTCACAAACCTTGTTAAAAAGAAATGCTCTTCCCGTGGCTCCTGTAAATCGAGTGGAGATGAGTTCTGAGCGGTTGGTCAGAATCGTATCGCAGTTTGCACAAGAAAACAAACGGGTACCACCAATATGATCAAGGAAAATTCGGCCCATTTTTATAGTTGAAGTTCTAAAACCCTAGGAGCAAATGGAAAAGGACAATAAATGCATTATGATTTTAAAAAATTGTTAGTACTACTTGGTGGGGGTCACAGGGAACCATTCATATATGTGATCTCTGTTTTATAATATTCAGTATGTGAAATAGCTGACCGAACAAAAGGATCCAAAGTTCATGCACTGAACCAAGAAATTGGCACATGCAATCTAAGAATATTTTAAAGAAGAAAAAAAAAAAAGAATATTTTAGAAGCAGTAAGCCAAGGAATTAAGCATGCTTAGGCAGGAAAAGAAAGGGTATTGCTTCTCTTTTGGTTAGTATGAAAAAAGAGTAAGAGTGTGGGATATCAGAAATGGAATGATGAAAAGCACAGGTAGAGAAGTGAGAAAAAAGGTTTAGCTCAAATGTTAAGTATACATTGTGAGTATGGGTAATTCGAGAAAAGACTCGTGGAACGTGAGTGAGTTGATCAGATAAGAGTAGAAAAAGGGGCAATCACAAAACAAGTGGATTTCTGATCATCAAGTGTTATCTACAACAATATAGGGGTGATGGCACCAATATTATAGTACAGTTTGAGTCCATGGAGCACTGTACTAGGTACTTCACTTATTTCAAAAACCATCGCAAGTCTGTGAGGCTCTCACCCCCATTTCATAGATTATCCAAGGATATTATCTGGTCCTAGTTTACACAACTTTCAAGAACAGAAAAATCATAACAAGAATGCAAATAACCCAACTCAAAGCCAAACTTATTCCATTACTGTACTTTGCCTCCTCTAAGAGGAGGGCACACAAGATGGTCTAAGCTTGGCATAAGGCTAAAAAACAAGTACAGTGAAGGGAAAGATGAACCATTATAACATAACTTAGTTAATATATCATACTGGTTAAGTCACAGACATGATGAAACATGGGGGTGGGAGGAGAGAAAACTC